TGTCTGTGATTTGTGTCAATGTTATACATGGTATTTCCCCCAATATGGATAGCCTTAGGGCAAAAATGGTTTTTTGTTGAGGAAACACAATTTTCTCTCTTCATTGGATTTTACTCTAAGTCATTTATTTGCTTGTGCTACATATTTCCGTGGACATTTTATTTGTGCAGTATGTCATGCTGCTACTTGAAAAGTCCTTTTAAATAACAATGTAAGATAGTGTCTGTCTATTAAAAAGATCACCCAAGTTTTGCTGGGTTTCACTGTCCCTTTGTCTTTAATATTTTAATGGTCATTTTACTTCAGTTTTTTTCTCTGCAAAGCAAAAGTTATTGTTTTCCTAATAATAAAGGACTCTGCCTTCTGAAATGTCAAAGAAAGAAAAAATAAGTAAATAATTAGAAAATGGCTATGGAGATTGAACCCAACCTTATTAAAATCTTACAAACCAATAGACGAGCAGTAACAACGAAAATCTGCAAGATGCTCACAGACCTAGGATTTAAAACAGAGTTCTTCACATAGTGCTCACTCTACAATCTTGATTTTGAGACCCCATTTCCCTAGTGACTTAAAATCTACCTGTAGCATTTTAACAACATATTAGTATATCTCAGCTTCCCTCTGGACCCCCACTGAGGTTTCATGCTTTTGAGACTGCATTTATTTGTGTACGTGATACGAGTAAAAGCAAATTCAATGAGACTCCAGTTGAAACAAACATATTTTTGGCACCTTAACACCAAAATTATGTATGCAAACTGGAGGCAATCCAAAGAACAGCCATGAGAATGAGGAAGGAGACAGAGTGCTTGGCTAAGGAAGAAATGCAAGACTTCTGAAAGTCCCTAGAGTTGGTAAACAATAATAAAGGAGCATAACAGCCCATAAATATTTAAAAGGTGTAAACATCAAACATGGATAGGAATGATTAATTCTGGGACAAGGGCACAGAGCTACTTCTGATGTTTTTATATCACTGGGAAGAAAAAAGAAAAAAAAGGTACTGTTTCCGTATCATCATTTTGAAATATGCAGAGTTTATTACTTATGCAAAATATTTTAGCATCCAGTGGCATCTTATCGCCTCTGAACACCCCATTTCAAGAGATGCAGAATAATTAACACTTAGTTATTCAAAATAGGTGAACTTCTTTCTGAGGAGATCAATTTTACTTACACTTAGGATTTCTTGAGGAGAGACTTTCATTTTGGGTAAGACTCACTCAACAATACCTCACACTTTTATTTCAGAATGGTCCAGAAGTGAATCAGTCACAGGCAACACCAACAAGATGGGAGCCACTTAGCCAGGTGGGGATATTAAAGAAAGGAGAGTTAAGGGAACATTAAAATTCATCAGAAACCAAGTTTAACTGAAACCAGAAACTCCCAGCAAGGTTGCCTAGATTACAGGACCCAGAGAAGCAATCCAAGAATTTAGCCCAGGCGGTGCCCAAGAAATGATCTATCAGGAGACTCTTTCTCTCCCTTTCTTCTTCCTTTTCTTTCTCCCCACCCCTCACCTTTATAAAGCATCTAGTGTGTGTTAGGTTCTATGCTCAGTGGTAAGAAAGAAAATATATCATTGAACTGGACTTTGCTCTCAGAGACATTGAGACAAATGTGGAAACAATTCATTGCTGAGTGTGGGGCATATAAACAGAGTTTGAACAAGACAGATGCAGGATCAGCCCAGCAAGTTGTTTCTGTGCACTGCATTAGCCAAGGTTATCCAGGGAAATAGAACAAACAGGACATATATAGATGTATGTAGAGATTTATTATAGGAATTGGCTCACATCATGGAGGTAGATTAGAAATCCCATGATCTGTTGTCTGAAAGCTGGAGAAATGGCAAAGCTGGTGGTATAATTCAGTATGATCCCAAAGGGCAGAAGATGGGTATCTCAGCTCAGAGAATAAGTTCACCCTCCCTTTGCCTTTTTATCTTATCCAAGCCCTCAATGAATTGGATAATACCTACTTAAATTGGTGTGGGTGGTCCTGTTCATTCAGTCCACCCATACAAATGTTAATATTCTCATCGACACACCCACAAATAATGTTTCACCAACTACCTGGGCATCCCTTAGTCCAGACAAATTGATGCTTAAAATCAACCATCACATGCAGTATATGCAGCACATGGCACTGGGAACATTGCAAAAAGCAAAGGTTGTTTTTATCTTGTCCTTCCCAGAGTATGGAAGCCAACCCCTAACGTAGGAACATGTGGAGCAGTGTTTGAGAGCAGATGTGGTTGTCGTTGGAAAATGATCAATACCTTTATGACAGTGCCACAGACCAGCAAGGGAAGGTGGCCATGATCTTCGCTCACATAATAGCACTTTATTAAGACTTAAATGAAAATACTACTCTCTCTTACCTCCTCTCAGGACATGCAGCCTAGTCTTTGATCAAAAAAAAAAAAAATTCACCCAAATCCATAAATCAGTAGGAGAGCCCTGTGTGGAGATAAGCACCATCAACCAGTCTCAGTGCATGACCCAAGGTGACTCGCCGTATTTAACAAAGCACGTATTTTATTGTGATCTTCTGCTATGAAAATATAGTCTCTGCCATTTCACTACTTGATCCTTCTGTTAAGATATATGGATGAATCATCTTTGGATAAATTATACATAGGTATGGCAAAGATTGAAATCTACAGACAAACCTGTATTAATGTGCTATGGGCAAACTCAACTCATAAAATTTGTAACATTTAGAAAACATAAACTGTGCTGTGAACAAGTTCAGATAAATCTGAGTATTGAAAAATGCAATAGCAAACTTAGCATTCATATATTACAATCTAATCAGAGCCTTGGTGATTATTTCACTCTTTTTTTCTTTTAATTCTTGAGAGGCTATAATGGGGAGGGGGACTCTCTAAACCAAAGCCTCTCAAAAGAAAATTAATGCTTAAATGTATGTGTGTGTCCTAGAACTATGATCCCATAAGTACTTCCTGGAAGCTTCATAGCTGAATTTCTCAAGCACTACAATAAAAAAAGGATGGAAATGGAACTTATTTTATAGAATTAAATAATGATGTGATCGATCGTCAAGAGGAACACAAGAAGATAAACATAATTCAATAAAGTTGAGAATGCATTGTTATGAGTGAGCAGCTGTTTTGCAGGTTTCCATCCATTTTCATGATGTCAGGACATCATGACTAACAAATCATTGTGGCGCACCACAGTTAAGGTCCCTCATGGTAGCCTGCTAACATCCTTTTTTAAATTTAATACCCCAGACATTTGTATTTCATCCTTTAATTTCTGAAAAAGATTTACCTAGGTTTCTCATGATGCAAACACTCATTCAGGGTAAAAATCATACAAGTGTTTCAACATAATAAATGTCCTCCTCATAACCAACCATCATCAAAGGATTGAATTAATCCAGGTTCAGGAAGAGTTTTCTCTAACAATATGAGTTTATATCTCAAATGCTTTTTAATCTTCTAATAGGCTAGAAGATGAACTGGAGTTAGAAAACCTGTGCAGAGTAGCTCTTTTGCAGTAAGCTCCAAAGGGCCGATCTAAACAGAGTGGAGGGGCAAAATCACTCCAGTGAATGAGACAAAGAGGGCACGTATTATTCTAAACACACACACAGTTTCCTCATAGACCTATTCTTGGAATAAGCCCCCATTTGTTTAGAAAGCCCCTCTTGGTAACCAGGCAGTAGGTAAGCTAGCAGGGACTCAAAAGTCAGGGTGTTCCGTTTCCACATTGTCTTCTTTACAGTTACTAAGGTCAGTATATGATTAGCATATAGAAAGATTTCACATGCAGCAAAAAAATCTTAATCCTACAGGAGTGCGTATTCTCTTGGTAACAAAATGTGCTCTTGAGATAGTAAAAATACTATTATTCTTTCATTAGAAAATACCATTTTTGTCTCATGCAACAAACTAGCGAATATAACAAAAAAGAAGTAGACTCACAGATAGCGAGAATGTACTAGTGGTTACCAGTGGGGAGCAGGAAGAGGGGAGGAGTACTAAAAGGGTAGGGGATTCAGAGGTACAAACTATTACGTGTAAAATAAGCACAAAGATATATTATACAACACAAGGAATATAGAAAATACTTTATAATAACTCTAAATGCAGTATAACCTTTAAAAATTGTGAATCACTACATGGTACAGCTGTAATTTATATCATATTAGGTATCAACTGTATTACAATGAAAAATACTATTTCTTCTCAAGTCATTTGTCTTTCAAAAAACTAACAATGATAGTAAGGGTTGATATTTACTGAATGGCGCTATGGACTCAACACAGTGCTAATAAGCATTATCAAAATGATCTGATTTAACCAGCACCTAAGACAATTACAACTATTATTTTAATTTTGTGAATTAGGAAATAGAAGTTTAAAAGGGCTAAACAGCTTCCCCAAAACCAGATCCTTGTGTGTCTGGCCGTTGGAAGTGGACTTTTTCTCACTCTTCCAAACTCTTTGAAATTTCTTACAACTCAGACTGACTGCACAAAGAATTTGAAAAAATTCTCTAAAGGACAATTCAGGTAAGATTTCACATTGATCCAAATCCAAAGGACAGTCGCAGAAGCTGAAAGCCCTTCAGACCATAAAGGGGTGAGCTGTTTGACCGATGAAAATACAGGTTTTCTCACTAAAACTTCAAGCCTCCTAAGAAGCCGACCGTCTCAGACCCCAATGGTAAAATTCATTTTTCTATTAAAAATGACATTTATATAAATATCATCAAGATGCAACTTTCAAATATGCCAGGAGGTTAGCTAACAAGAAAAATAACTGTTAAGTTGTTTTGCTCTTTCAAAAATGAGCCAGGATTTTAATGGAACTCCAAAAAAACAAAAACAACGCCTCACTATATTATATATCTGGTTCATTTCCTGGGTCATTCTCTGTGGCTATATTCTTCTACCATGCGTTGCACTAATTCAATGCACTCAAAATGCATAAAGCAACTGATTAAGGAAAATATTCTTACCAGTAAATTAAGTTCCCTTTAGTTCCACTACAATACGTCTGCAGTATTAACACAGGGTCATTGTTTGTAGTTTACAGCACCTAGAGATAGATTAGAAAGTTGTAATTTTAGAGATAATTTCCAGCTAAGGAATCATTTTTAAATTATTTTTTACCTTTTCCCTGTTTAAATAACTGATTTAGTTTTTCTTTCTCACCACCTCTCAAAAAAAAAAAAAAAACCCAAATACCTAAACAATAGCATTGCTCCATTGCTGAGTATAAAAGGCATCCCCTAGATTCTTATCTATGAATAAATGAAGCAGAGATGCAGAAAACAGCCACGCAATTACTCTTCTCATTGAAAGAATTATTGATGTGTCTTCTCTCACAAATTCAAGCATTTTGCAACAGACCACAGTTTGTAAGAATTTCTACTTGGCAGTCCTCCATGAACTGTTCTTCACAATAGCCACTTGCTTTTGTCTGAGGCTGTGACCAATCTATCAAAATAAAACAGTAAAGACTAAAACGATGAGAGCTCTATCAGGAAGCACTCTCCGAGATCAGAGCTCTATGAATTACAAATCTAACATAAACCTTTAATTCAAGAGGCCATCTCTCACCCAGATGTGTTATCAGCAAGCTTCCCATTTTTAAAAAAAATCAACACATGAAATGAAGGAAGTGTTTCAACCAATATACACAATCTTTTTTATTGTTAATTCCCAGATGATTTGAAGATTGGCTCCCAATCCCTAAAAGATTGTCTATAAGATTTGTTTTGGATACTCTCCCAAGAGTACAACTTTGAAAAGCTAAGATTTCTGTTGAGCATAAGGATGGTCAAAGTAAGTCAAAGATTCTTCGCATACCAGTTGTCTTAACTTAATGAGCATCATTCAGAAGTGCTAAATACCATCTAGTAACTCTAACTCATTTTGGTAGAAATTACTAATTAAAGAGATTTATAAAATTTCAATATCTTTTGCCCTAAGAAAAAGAAAGATGGCTAAAATATGCAAGCAACCCACTTTCTTCCTATGCGTTTTTTTGACGATCTCTTTGGCCTTATTCCAAAAGCTGCTGCCAAAAAGTTATAAACAGATTGCAATGCCTCAGGGAGAAACTCACACCAATACACTGAAAAGAAAAATTCCACCCTGGCAAGTATCAGAATAGTCCCCACTGCTTTCCAGTTGACCAAGTGACACACTGCACAGTCTGTGCCCTGTACACTTTTGTTTAGTGACCTCATTTCAAACCCCTTAGGCCTACTTCTGGCACTGTTATTATTTACATTATTATAACAAACAGAACTGTTTATAGATGATTCACAATACCCAAAACAACATTTAATATCATTCCTAACCAGTGGGATCATGGTACACAGGTAGCTTGAGTAAAATTGTATTTATTGAGTTCTATAGGGTAATAGAAGATCTTTCTCTAAATACAGGAAGATAGGAACTGGCCATCATTTATTGTGTCCAGCATCCATTCTGTTTCAATAGTCACTCAGTGGGGAAAAGAAAAAAATGAAATGTTTCCCTGTGTCAATTCCAAATTAGATTTGCCGATTGTTCACTCCATTTACTGAGGCTACAGTTAAAGGAGACAATATAGTATGTCTTTTATTTATCCCAGTGATAAAGAGTGCCATAAATCGGGCATATACCCCAGCCAGGGAGCCACCTCTATGGTTCCAACATTAAATCTCCCTAAAACTTCTCTTCAAAATCAATCCATCTCATACAGCTACTGCAGGCAGCTCTTCCCAATGGGTCTCACCTTCCTACCTCTGTCAGTGATACCCATGACAACAGGGATCAGTGCCCCTGGTGAATTATCCACACTCTTGCTTAGCACTTGCAAGAGAGTTGTCTGGCATGAGGCACGGAGACCAGAGCTACTGATCAGACTTATTTGTATGCTCACAGCAGCAGTGTATGCCTGCTGAGCTCTCATCTGCTTCGTTCAACTTTGGTTGAGGAGGCATACACATTAATCATGGATATAAGGTCTTTGCTGCTAATCCAATCACACTGCGCGCGCGCGCGTGTGTGTGTGTGTGTGTGTGTGTGTGTGTGTGTGTGTGTATTGGTGTATATAAAGCATTATCTCTGTACTATGGTCTCCTTTTATTCCTTCATATTGTAGGTATATGATCTCCAAAAAGGGGTACCCAGACAATCCTTGAGAATGCAATAAGTAATATTAGAATATATATACATATAATTGATCTCAAATATATATATTAAAACATAGATGTTGATATTAAAACTTCCATACATATATGAGTATATACATTATTTTTACCTAATTTTATCTTTCTTTAAAATCATTTAAAAATTCTTCTTTTCTGCTTTCTTAGCTAAATATTAGCACAATATGAATCTGGGGTATACATATCTTGGAGATATAAGCTCAAATATTATTATGATAAAGGTACCCACGTACACACACACACTACACTACTGCAGTCTAAGAAAATATCTCTCTCATTCCACTTCTATTATATTTAGCAGGATATATAATCTTTAGAATTTGTTAATTTGCTTAAAGCCTTTACCCTTTTTCCTACCACTAGTGATACAGATACTAATATCTTCTTTTCTAATCTTAGACAAAAGTTGCTTGTCTTTTTTCAAAGTCCCTCCGTTTTTCCACTTAAGAGATACAAATAAACATACTGACCAAATGTAAAGGGAGAAATGATAAGAATACTGAAAGGAAATCTGAATAATTTAGTCATATGTATTAAAGCAAAATGGGCATTTGGGCCCTTGATGGTTGCTCGCTTTTTACTGAAAAAAAAAAAGCATTACTAAAAGAAAATATAGTGTAGGCACATCAAACTAATTAAGTTAAACTCTGCTCACTGGAGGAAGAAATAACAGAAAGAGAGAAAGTACACTGTAGGGAGAAATAGAACTCACTCAAGAGTAAGATGCAGTAAAACTGGATTGGGATCCCTGCAGTGAACAGTGAACCTATGTCAGTAAATGAGCACACAATGGAAATTCTTCTATCTGCCTAACAAAAAAGATGCATAACAATATGAGAACCAGAAAAAACCATGAGAAACCATAAATGTTTTCTTTTAGAAATTATTTACAAGCAAAACTTCACACTAGCAATGAAGGTGGTTAATTTGTCCCTACAAATATTTCTGAAATACTCTGAAAGAAAAGAGTCCCTATTCCTGATTACTAGCTTTAGTATTTGTTTACTAAAAAACAATTGTTGACTCCCTACAAAGAATCATACATGAATTTGTTTTTAACATCAATTGAAGGCATATTATGTGCTGGATGTTGTGCTAAGCAATCAGTATATTTTCTTATGTCACACGGTGCCCTCTTGTTAGGTCCCACTGACCATAATTTTATATGTGATGAAATGAATTCAAATAGGCTAGGCATCACATACAAACTCACAATGACAATGAGTGGCACAGAGATTTGAACCCAGTCTATGTAACTCCAAGTCCACACCTTTATTACCTTTGATTACCTTCCCTATCACACCATTCATGCCAAGTGCCACGAGCTTGAGAAAAGGGCTCCATAATAATTACTTCTCTATGTCCTACTACTTTTTAAGACATACATTCACCTGTCTTAAAGAGGCTAATAGCATACTATAGTGAAATCAGCCAAGAATATTCCAGGGCAAGTCAGATGACCCAATACATTTTATCCCTAGCTCTATTACTAACGTTGCCAATTGAGAGCAAGTTTCTTAGCCAGTTTGGGTCTCAGTATCTCCATCTACAAGACGAAAAGGTTAACAATTTTTTAGAGTTTCTTATCTATGATTACAAGAAAAACTTTCCCTAATAATGGGGTTGAAGGAGGCACATAGAACAGGAATTAAAATATTCAAGAGGCTGGGATCATGAGACTCTGATACAGGGAGAGATTAAAAAGGTTAGAACTTTTTCATATGTAAAAATGAATACATAGAACAGAGAGATCAAAATAAATAACATTTTGAAGGATACAGGAAAATTGAATATAATTATGTTTTCTATCATCTTGGACTATTAAACTTCAAAGAGAGGAGATCCCTCAGAAATGAGTTGAGGCAAATAATACACGAAAGAATTCTGTTAATATGATAGATCGTTTATGTTAAGGAAACAGTTTCCAGGAAGATCAAGACATATTTTTGGCAAGTGCACTCATAGTTTATTAACAGAGAAGAGCATTCATATTTCACTATTTGAGAACATAATGGAAAAGCTATACACCTTCTCAAGAATCCCTTTCTTCTCTGGAGATGGCCTAGAAGGATCTGGATTTGAACAATGATATCAATTACCCTCAGGTACTCTGGGGTTTTTATTCAACACCCACATGAAGCACTCAAAGCAATCAATCAATATTTGACTGAATGAATGAGCTCTGCCACTTACTAGTTGTGTCACGTCGGGATACATTCATCACTGTATGCCAGGCACTGTTCTATTACATATTTTATGAATTAATTTTATCCTTACAACTCTATGAGGTAGACACTTTTTGTTTTTAAGATTCTCATTTTAAAGATGAGAAAACTAAGGCACAAAGAATTTACATATTGCCTGGGGTTACAAAACCATTTCTCCATAACGCAGCTTTATAATCTTGAAAGCCTTAAGTACTGGCAAAGACATATTGCAGCAACAGAACACGTTTAATGCAGATTCTTATTCTTTAAGGCTGCAAGCTTAGTAACAAACATTTCCAATCATGATTAAAGAACAGAATTTTAAATCATTAAAAGTCACAGAAATATGTATGAAAACTGCCTGAGAGTCTTTCAGGGACATTTAGGTATGAAAAGAAGTTAACATGGCTATTATTAGGACTTTCTGTCCCAAAGCATTGTACAAGGGGTCTTTGTTTATTCATCCAAGTATTTATTACTTGTCTGCTCTGTGTCCTGCACTGTGGTCAGGCACACCCATGAATAGGGAGCCCTATGTCCCCAAAATAGGAACTTGTCTAAACAAATCCGATCCCAGGATATTATTCCCAATTTCCTGCTCGAGCCATTCCACCTGCTGCTTTGGTCAGAGTATTTGCTCAAGCAGCTTTCAACCCCTGGCTGGCCTC